TCCTAGCACTCAGGAGGCAGAGCCAGGTGAATCTCTGTGAGTTTGAGTCCAACCTGGGCTACAGAGTGAGTTCCAGGAAAGGCACAAAGCTACACAGAGAAACCCTGTCTTGAAAAACCAAAAAATAGATAGATAGATAGATAGATAGATAGATAGATAGATAGATAGATAGATAGTAGATAGATAGATAGATAGATAGATAGATAGATAGATAAAATACTGTTAATAAATATTGACTACATGGCTAGAGGTATCATTCCCAGTCAGAAGATCTTAGAGTTGTGGGGCTGGAGAGATGGCTCAGCGGTTAAGAAAGAGTGCTTGTTGCTCTTACAGAGGACCCAAGTTCAATTCCCAGCATCCATGTTGGGTGGCTTCAGCTCCAGGAGATCTGATGCTCTATTCTGGACTCCCGAGTACACCTACATACATATGGCATATACTTACACACATACACATAAATCACAATTTAAAAAAAATAAACATTAAGGAAAACAAAGACTTCAAATTTGGGTCATTTCCCTGGTTTCTAAAGAAGTAGACAGAGTTGTAAAATACATGCTTCCATGGAAGATCCTACTTTAAAGTTACCTGGTCTTTGCTGGGCTCAGAGTGAACATGTATCATGTGCAGCTAACTCAACAAGCTCTGACATGTTTGGGCATTGCCCATGTAATGGTCAAGGTGAGTGTCTTAGTTAAGGTTTCTATTGCTGTGAAGAGACACCATGATTACAGCAACTCTTATAACGGAAAATATTTCATTGGGGCTGACTGACAGTTTCAGAGGTTCAGTCCATTATCATCATGGTGAGACATGACGGTGTGCAAGCAGACACGGTGCTGGAGAAGGAGCTGAGAGTCCCTACATCTTAATCCACAGGCAGCAGAAGGAGACTGTGCCACACGGGCCATGGCTTGAGCATAGGAGACCTCAAAGCCTGTCCTCACAGTGACACACTTCCTCCAACAAGGCCTCACCTACTCCAGCAAAGCCACATCTCCAATAGTGACACTCAAGCACTCACACACATGAATCTATGGGGCTATTCCTATTCAAACCACCACAGTGAGGCAGGTTAGGTGTTGGTCCTAGGAACTCCAGAGCTGGGCCCGAGGCTTCTGTAGGTCTGAAGAGACATAGGTGCTGATAGAAGAATGGGCCCTCAAGGAAGAAAAAAAAAAACACATGAAAAAGTAACTGCAGGTGTGACAAAGAGCCCTAGAATACCCCGGTGAGGGGCGTCATGGCAACAGCATCCACCTGTTATAGAGGGTAGAGACCAGGTGCCGGTACTGTGTTCTGGTCACACGTGTTGATACAAAACAACAACAGACATAGCTCTCACCTCGAAGGGAGATAGTTTATTCTGGAGCAAAATACCAAAATATGAGCATGGCCCAGGAACACAGATTTGGATTACCCCAAATTCCAACTTCTAGTGTGGTAACAGTTGGTGGGATTTTCCCAGTAACAGAGCAAAGAAAATCATAAATCAGGACAGTTTTCAAGCACGTTGGTGGGAACCTTGGGTAGGCGTGTTACGGCAGAGCCGAGAAGTCACTGTTACCAGCTTTGGATGCTGTCTGATGACATGCTTAGCTTTGAGTGGTTGGTGGAAGTCAAGGGTATGTTTATACATTTCAGAGGATTTACCTAATTATCACAAGATGCTAGGCACAGAGGCAGGCCATAAATGCTATTTAGGGGCTGAGATAGCCCAAGTTAATTTGGCTGTAGACCTCTGACTTCCAGCTGTTAACAAAACATTGATGTTCTAATTAATTATCAGTCTTGGAGAATGTTTAACAAAGGGGAGACTTTTTCCTGGGATTCCATGTGTCAGTTAACACATGGAATTGAGAAATGGCTACAAGTCAAATTCTGTGTCCACACTGTCCCTGTGAGGTGTACCTGTTGTCTGCAGCACAGGGAACCCCAACAGCCTGTTAGGTGTGGCCTGTGGTACCCACATCAAGCTCAAGAGGTTGTGTATGTGGGGGTCACTTTTCACATAACGAAGTGGGGGATTTGCAGAGCCAGGTGCCAGTCCAGGCACATCTCTCTGCAGTTGGGGAATTCTGTTTCTGCTGGGAAACCCTCTCAGAGGGGACTGCAGGGCACAGGATCTGGCAGGTGTATCCAACGTAGGGCCCATGGGCTGCATGAGCCCCAAGATAGCTGTGAGTATGGCCCACCAAATCAAAAACTTACTGAAAACATTACAAAAAGTTGTATTGTATTATTAACTTTTTCACGCTCTCATATATATTGCTTATTGCACACATTCTACCCCATGTTCTCCTCCCTTCTCTTTCTTCTTCCCCTCCCCCCATGGGTCCTTTACCACCGACATAACAACTTCTGCTTTCATTTATATATATATATATATATATATATATATATAGATAGATATAGATAGATATAGATATAGATATAGATATATATGCATATATGATTTTATGTATCTATAGAAAACCTAAGAACCACAAATGACCTCTCATTTGTGCTTTCTCAATATAATATGTGACTTTCTATGATTTTTATATGACTGTCTTCAGTTACATCCATTTTTCTGAGAACAATATAACTTCATTCTTCTTTATGGATGGAAAAATATTTTTTGTGTGTATGCAGGGGGTGGGGCATTTGTGGGGTCAGAGCCATGTTTCAGCAGTTAACAGCACTTACTGTTCTTACAGAGGACCTGGCTTCACTTCCCAGCACCACACTTTATACCTCACAACTGCTTGTAACTCCAGTTCAAGGGCATCTGAGAGACTAGTAGGAACATACACATACGTTAAATTATTTTTTATTTCATTGCATAAGCAGTACATATTCTTTAACCATTCCTATGCTGTCAGACATCCTGTATGGGCTCCGTAGCATGGCTGCTGTCAACAGTGCTAGTGCTAGACAGGCGTGCGAGTGTCTCTGTGCCGTGTCGACTTGGAGACTTTAGGGTAAATACCCAGGAGTGTTTTAGCTGAGTGGTGATTTTTTCCATAACTCAATTGCATGGTTCTCAAGCATGAACTCTATATGACAACTTCTATCACAATGCCAAAAGGTTGAACATTCCTGGAAGCAAGCAAGAGCCAAGAGGGGCTGTCTCCTCTCTGGAAGTGCGGGAGGTTCTTTATGAAGAAAAACAGGGCAGACCTGGGGCTCCCGTCATCAGCAACCCTGGGCAAACTGTAACCTTTCCAGATGCCTTTGCCCCCTTGTGTTTGGCCGGCTGGGGACCGCTGCTGTTAGCACTTGCCGCCAGAGTAAAACTGTAGAAACCATGTCCCTTGCACATGGCTGTCCAGCTACCATGACATCTTCTCATTATATGATTCTCTGAAGGCCTGAGACTGTGTCCCCTGCGACACCCCAGCTCCACCTCCCTGTGACTGAGTGCCATGGGGAGAAGAGGTGGCCTAGGAGGACTGGTCAACAATCTCTAGGCTGCAGTCCTTAGTAAGAAGGGGAAGGGGCTTGGACCAGCTGCTGGATGCCTCAAAACACTTGGATCCCATGGCTGGTTCATCAGAGACAGGCAGTAGCCATAATGACCATTCAGGGGTCTGGGGTTAACATCTCATGAACACTGGGCATCACTCTGGACAGGGCTGAGGGTTGTGTCACCTGGTCTAGATGGCAATGATAAGCACCCTATCGATGACCTGTGGTGGCTAGGTCTGAAGGTCAGGGTATGCTCCATCTGAACCTCTGTGTGAGTGTCCTCCTGGTCTCCCAGTGGAGGACTGGAAGAAACTCACCAGACAGATGGAGGAATGGCCAGACAGCTTGGAAAACCCTAAAGCCAAAAGCTAACTAACCCAGAAGGACCAAGACTAACAAAAGCTCTACCTGAGAGCATCCAGAGGACTGGCCAAGCTGTGTAGTAGGAGGAGCCACACCTCAGGAGGTGAGCAGACCTCCATCCTGGTCCCTGTAGGCGGTCCCTGCTCACAGGATGCCCTAGCAGGCAGAGCTGTGGAGGACCAGGGCAGCCTTTAATGCTTTTCTTTTCCCCTGCTGAGTCCCCCTTGTTTAACATGATCACTTGGGTTGTCATTATTTTTTTTTAGATGTCACAGCACCCCATCCATTCTGGTTTTAATCAGAAGCTGGACCACACGTGGTTTGTGAGCCCAGAAGGCAGTCTGCCCCACGGCTCACGGTTGGGTCTGGGAAATTGGCAAAGCTTCTTCAGAAGCCAGCAGGCAGGCATTGGGGTTGCTTGGTTGGTGGGATTTGATCATTAGTAACGTCTGATCAACCATGACCCCTTCATAATCAAGGAACTCAGAGAGACATGCAGAGCCAGCCAAACCCTGCCACTCTGGAGTTATGGAAATTAACAGGAGGGGTATTTAACTATTTAACATGGAGCCTCCAAGTTCAGGCAGCCTGAGAGAGGGAGGCCCAGTGGCTGGAATCGTGGGAGATGAGGATGTGGGGAAGGCTGCTGCAGGAGAACTAGTAACGTGGCTGAATAACACAAGCCCTAACCATGCAGCAGTCCTGCCAGGTTCAAGCACTGCTCCTACTGAGAAGTATGAAATAACCTGCTAAGGGCAGGCTCTGGCCTCTCCTGCCGGTTGAAGGGAAAGGCTGCACCACAGGAGGGGTGATGGAAGGGGATGGAAGAGCCAGAGGCACTGGTTCATGACAACCCCCCGTGGGGAACAATGCGGGGTCCTGGGTCTGGTGGCATCCCCGGGAAAGATGAAGCTGTCTTCAGATCTTGTTCCCGTGAAGGATGAACTGTGAGATAAGTTTCACAGAGGACTGAGCTCAGACAACCACACTCACCACAAAGTGTGCTCTCCCTTTCAATATGCGCACCCCGCAGCCTTTGAAAATCAGGAGGGAACAGAGGGCAGGCCGTGTTTGGGTTTCCAATCTGGGCTGATTATGGGGTGTCGGGAGTGTAGGTTTTCTGGGCAAGCAAAGAAATAAATGGCTAAGCTGACTCTTGACTCTGTCCCCACCCCCTCCCACAGGGTACCAGATTGCCTACCGCCTGGCCAGCGGCAGTCCCCACACCTTCACCACTGTGGAGGTGGGTGCCACAGTGCGGCAGTTCACAGCCACAGAGCTGGCCCCAGAATCTGCATACATCTTCAGATTGTCTGCTAAGACAAGACAGGGCTGGGGCGAGCCCCTGGAGGCCACAGTCATCACCACTGAGAAGAGAGGTAAGATCCCAGACCCAAATCTGACTGTGGATGGCAGGGCACACAGCTGTTTTGTCAGCCCCTCTGATCCTCACAGCGCCCAGAAGCCTGGGCCAGATGTGAAGCTAGGCAGATTGTCTTATTTTTTTAAGTGGGGTGTGTGTGTGTGTGTGTGTGTGTGTGTGTGTGTGTGTGTGTGTGTGTGTTCAGACATATGCATGTATATGTGCAGGTACTCATGCCTGCACATATATGTGGAGGCTAGCAGTCAAGTGTCTTCCTTCAACACCGTGTGTTTTGAGACAGTTTCTCATTGACTCCAGAGCTGGCTGTTTTGGCTAGGCTGGCTGGCCAGCAAGCTCCAGGGGATTCACCTGTCTTTGCATGCTCAACTCTGCAATTAAAAACATGGGCCATGGTGTCTGGCTTTTTGCAGGTGCTGGGGATCAGAACTCGTGTCCTCACGCATGCTCTACAGGCACTGTTCATGCTGAGCCATGCCCCCAGCTCGGAGCTAGGCATATTGTCAAAGTGTCTTCATGACACCACTGTTAGCCACCTGCCCACTGTCTCAGTCAGGTGTTATTATAGAGGCCGGAGGCAGGAAGTGCAGCTCGGAGAGGCTAGCCCAGGGCAGCACCGAGCTTTGTCTACAGCAGTGGTTTTCAACCTTCCTAATGCTGTGACCCATTAGTATAGTTCCTCGGAGTATGGCGATGCCCACCATGAATTTTTTGTTGTTGTTGCTACTTCATCACTGCAATTTTGCTGCTGTTATGAATCATAATGTAAATATCTGATAGGCAGGATATCTGATATGAGATCCCGAGGTTGAGAACCGCTTTTCTAGAACCTTCCACTGCAGCCCAAAGGGCCTCTCTCAGAACCCATGCCTCCAGGCACAGGGGCTCTGGTGATACCTTTCCTGAGGAGACAAACCAACCGTGACCAACAGGGCACAACCGACACACTAAAAGAAGGGCTCCACCAAAATTCAGCTTCGAGAACCAGTGAGTTTACTGAGTCTGTCTGCAGCGCCCAAGTGGTAGGGATTTGCTTACATACACGTGGGTGACCTCCAATACAGTTGCATCACCACCAAGTGATGACCTCATGGGGTCTCCCTTTCAGTCAACCTTCAACTTCCTGTATAATATAGTATCTATCTCCTAGGATCACTTGCAGCTAGCTAGGTGGAGGTCAGGATAGCATAATGGCTGGGATCCCAGGTGAAGGTCCTATGACCTTCCTATCCGCCATCTCCCAAGGAGTGCCAATAGTTCCATCATTATTACCATAGATTTATCTAATACCATCTTTATTCTGCTCAATTAGTTACTATGGTTACCAGTCCAAGATAATCTCTACTCTAAAATAGCAATGATATCATGTTATGCCCAGAAGAAAAAGTCATACAAGGAATGCTGCCCTCATAGCCAGACCCAGAGGTCTGGGGAACTAGGCCAGGAGGACTGGGAAACACCCGGAGCTCAAGGCTCAGGCCTGTGAGGCCTTGGGCAAACCCTTACCCTCTCTCTGCTATGGCACTGACTTGGGAGGCCTGTGCAGAGCAGTTAGCACAGTGCCGAGGACACCCAGGACAGGCTGTGGCTTTTCCTGTCATCAGCAGGGCTCCCAGGAACTGCTCTGGTGTGATGTAAGTGCTCAACAAATGTGAGTGAGTATCACAGCTGCATTTGTGATGACTTTTATCACAAGATCTAAAGCAGGCCATTTCAGGGATCAAGGAGTCGAACTCAGAGACTTAAATCTAACAGAGGGAGGGGCTGACACAGAGCTCACACCAGGCTCCAATCGCCTCCAGGTATCACTGCCTCTGTTCCCATCTCCAGCTCTCACCAAAGCCTCCTAAGATGGTTTCAGGGAAGAAACCAAGTCCTTGTCAGAGGAGAAGCCTGCTGGGTGGAGAACAGCGCCCCCTGAGGCCAACCATGCCCATCTTGTGCTGCCCCAGAGTGAGCACAAAGAAGGAAGTCAGGCCTCACCTCTCATACCAAGTCGGCAAGTTCCCAGCAGGCCCAGTGTCCATCAGCCTTCCCTGGACTGAGCCAGGATCCTCCCAATGACTGCAGCCTGGTCCAGCCACCTGACTGTAGGAGCCACCAGGCTGAGCACATCTCTTCTTCCAGGGTCTTCTCAGCTTCAAGCTGCCAGTCAGGCTATGTTAGCCTTTCATTGCTATAACAAAATACCCAGAAAAACAACTAAAGGAGGAAGTTTAGTTTTGGCTCATCGGTTCCTGTGTGCTCAAAATATGACTGTGGTGGCTGAGACTGTAGAGGGAGGGAGGAGCTTTTGTTTATAGGGTCTGGTCACTCCTGCAGGTTTAACCCTCACAGTAGGGGCTTGTCAGTTCTAGGGGTTGGGACAGCCTGATCTCTCTAGGATAAAGATAGTCTTAAAGCAGGCAGATACATCATCTAATGACAATGGCCTTGAACTCCAAATCCTCCTGCTTCTGTTTCTTACATGTTGGGACTACAGGTGTATGCCATTACACCTGGCTTTATGGGGCACAGGAGACCAAAGCCACCCAGGCCTCATTCATGCTAGACAAACACAACCACATCACATTTGGGGAGATGCTTGTCTTTCTCTTTCTGAAAGCTAACATCTTACCCATCCTTACAGATGTACATGTATTACTACTGAGTTCTCCCAAATACCAACTGCCCCTCAGATACATGTGCGGGGCTTCACTGGCACATCCCTTATTGCCTCCACAACTCTGCGAGTGGATGCTCTTACTGGGTCCTTTGGTGAAGATGTGCTTGAACTCGGAGTGGTGATGTGACCTTCAATGCCTGTGGCCCCTGGCTCAGGGGACCAGGATCTAAATGATGGGCACTGGGAGGGTGCTCCGGAGATTGGCAGCTGCATCCTAGTCCCCAGAATGCTTAGTAGTGTTTTCAAGAACTGGTGACATAGGTCTTTGCTAAGGGATCCACAGGCAGCCACCCTTGGCCCTTGCCTTCTTCCCTGGGTCATGCCCTCCTTACGTGTGTGATTGCATGCATACTTGTATGTGCATGTTCATATGTGTACTTGTGTGTGTATGTACCCACATGAAAACACATGCATAAACACCCTTCTGTGAGTGAACCAGTGTGGCCTGATCATGCCTGCTTGTTGCCTGGGGCACAGGGCCACCACTCCCTGCCCAGCCCCCAACCCCTTAGGTATGGAGAACCTTGACTTCCCACCAGACTCTAATGCAAGTCTTAGGGACAGGGAGCTCGCCATTTCCAGTGGCAATGTGTCCACAGAAGGCCTTAGAAACTGGCCAGGGAGCCCAGCTCTTTCCATCCTGCAGAAATCAGGCTTCCAGCCAGCGTGCACACTCACAGCCAGGACCACTGATTGAGCCAGATCGAAGCGCCTCTCACATCCCTGTCACTGCGGGGCCCACGATCGATGGCTACTTTATTACACGCCACACATTTTAATCAGAATCAATAATTGTCATGATAAACAATTAAACAATTATTTCTCCCTCTATGGTCCCTCTGTTGAAATCACTGGGGGACGGGAACACAGTGTCAGGCACATGGCACCCCATTCAAGGCCAAGGCTGGTCCCAGGCACCCTGCATTTTAATCCTGCAGAAACAATTAACAGCCCACAGGGACCCCCGCCTGCACTTGCCTCCCACCCTCCAGGAGCACTCAGTAGATTTCTCTCGTGTGTTAGACTCAGGTTAACTATAAAGAAAAAGAAATTAGGTTTTAAGGGTGAGATGAGCCCCCAAATCAGACAGCGTACAAAGGAGGCTTGAGTTGTTTAGTAGAGTGCTACAGCAAACATCAGCTGTCATTCAGAAGTACTTGCCCTTGCTGATAAGGGGCTGGGGCCTCTGGAGGCACACGTTTCTGGCTGGTTCTGCTATGTGAGCAAGCCCTGCTCCCCAGTCAGACCTGATCTGGTGCATCCAAAGTCAGCTGTAAGACAGCCTCCTCTCCCAAACCTAGGACTCGCTTGCTTTTCTTTCTTTGTGTGCACAGCAAGGGGAAGCACATGTGCATGTGTTCACATGAGTGGGACTGCATGTGTGGGTGCATATAGAAATCAGAGGTCCAGCCTTGGGTGTTGGCCTCAGGTACCAATCTACCGCTTTCCTCCTTTCTTCCTTCCTTCCTTCCTTCCTTCCTTCCTTCCTTCCTTCCTTCCTTCCTTCCTTCCTTCCTTCCTGACCGGGTTTTTCTGTGTGACTGTAGACCAGGCTGGCCTGAGATTCACAGAGATCCACCTGCCTCTGCCTCCCGAGTGCTGGGGTTAAAGGTGTG